TTGAGTACTTTCCCCTCAATGTTGTCATCAGAAAGTCCTCAGTACTAATAGTCAAACTACTCATTTATGCCGTACTACAAAAACAAAAGTGTAAATGTGTGAGAATTTTTGCCTAAAGTGCTCAGCAATGTCTTGTAGGGTAGTACATGTGTTGTTTATGTATTGTTGATGTTTCCGCAGCTTTATGCTTCGATCTCCTTTTGACGTGATTAACGAGACCTTTTATCAGCGTAAATCAATTATGAGGGCTACGGGGTCAAATAGTTTGAGTTTAATTTGATGGATGACAGCAATAAAATATTTTTGGATCAAAAACTATTTGGCGTTCAAAAGTCATTGCTCCTTAAAGTTTATTTACAGTTTTTATATGTAAAGTTATGTGGAATTGTCATTGACGAAACGAATTTTCTGACTTTTATTTTAAGAAGCTTACTTTTATCACCAAATTTAAAATACTTTTCTATATTATAATAAATGGTTTATAGTTGCTTTGAATAAAGGAAAAATTAAAAGAAAATGTGATTTCATTGCGCTGGAAATATCCTTTCAAGCACTGCTCTACATACATATGTTTATAAGTATTTTCGAATTGGGGAAAAAGCAATTTAATTACCTGAGCTTGTACGAATTTTGTAATTCTGATCCATCTCCTCTGGTATCGTCGAAATATGAGTGTTCGGGTTCGTCGTTATATAAGGACTTGCCAACGATTTGTTAATTTTTGTTGTTTTCAGACAACTTTGCCTCTCCGTCACTTCGCCATCCACTGTTTCTATCACAATTTCCGTCTGGGATAAAAGAAAACAGGTAATAAATGTTAAATAAATAAATAAATGGAAATGAAATATCTCTGTTCTTTTAAAATATGATTTAAGGGCGAAACTTTAAACATTCTTTCACTGTCTTGTACAGTAGCAAGTACAACATATGCATGTATATGTAACCCCGCACAACCGTTTTTCCGTTTCATCCTTAACATTGAGGACAGAATGAAGAAGAGATGGAGCCTCTCTGATAATCTGATTTTTACTGGATAATTTTTAATAGCACTACGTGACCAGACCAATTATTTTTTTCTTTCCCCATATCGTCTTTAGACGGCGGGTACATATGGCTGGTTAAAAGGAAGAATCGGTGAAATTTTACACAACTGGATCGAAGCTTCACTAAACGGTCGGTTGATACGTCTTTAGTGTAGGTTCCTAAGAACAAACTGCATTTTCAACAACAACAAAAAAAAAATTTAACCGCATTACTGGAATGTAGTTAACTCGATTTTTTTCAAAATAGGAAACACCCCATCTCTATCGCTCCTTTTTATTTAAAAAATTTACTTCCAGAAATCAATGAAAAAGAGATATTTATTGGAAAGTCTCTTTTGAGTCAGTCTCACCGAGGAAAGAGAGAGGAGTACCTTGGACATATGTGGAGACAGACGGGCTCAAAGATTGCCAATTCATTTGCTAAATATTTCAATGTTTTTCTGGGCGTGTGGGGAACGGATGCAGACAAGCGATCTTCTTAGGCGTTTTTTTACTTTTATTTTTATAAGTTTGTTTGATTTAAATTTTGCTTGTTTGAAAACTCAGCTATAGTAAGAAAAGTGTCAAGTCAGGGCTCCTGGTTGTTATGCAGCTTCTGGTTGCCTTTTATGGATAAAGAAATGTTTCAAGACAAATTTTCAAATAAGATAGTGTCAAAACTTTCTTCTCGCTTTTAGTACTACACTCGGTATAATTTCACCATGGTTTTCCTATTGAAGTGCAGTGCACAGCTCTCAAGAAAAAACCGAAAAATTCATATAAGCTGACGCACAAGAACTGAAGAAAAAGAAATTTTCTTCTGTGAAAATTTTTTAAATCAGTTTGTAGCTCTAAAAAAAAAAATGATCGAATATTTATTCCTTCAAGAAAATTTACAAAAACAAAGTGCTTTTTCAAGCAACAGAAATAATGAAAAATATTTCTTGTTATTTTTCTTGAAAGCGGGGTTTTAAGCTTAAGTTTGATTTAACGCGTAGATACATGGCGTATGAGTAACATAATTTCCTTCTCATGTTTAATGTGTTTCTTATTCGCTAGTTCTTTAACAGATACATACATACATACATAAAAAAAGTAACCTACGTTTAAAAATATAAAATTTTTTGGTTTACAAGGGCGGATTGGTATTGAAAATGTCCTTTTAAATATTTTTATGCTTTTAAGCTATTAAAGTACAATGACGAAATTCGAGAATATGGTCATGTGTCTATTAATCCTTATCCTATAATTTCTTCAAAAACAAACACACCAAATTTGCAAGGATACGCAAGGACACAATTTTAGAAGAAGATTTTCAATACTAATTCGTCTTTATGAAAATAACACTTTAATATTTTTTAATTTCACAAAATTTTCTTATTTATTTGGTAACCATATTGCTACATATTATAAATTGCATTGCATTTTTAAAATAAATTTTGGAATTAATCAAATCTTTGAAACCTTAAAGTCTTTAAAAAAAAAATTGGACGCCAGAGAAAAACAACAAACACGCAGTTTCACTTTATTTGGAAAATGATTTTTTATTTTCTGTAAATTTCCATATGAAATTCAAAAAATTAAAATCACTTTACTCTTAAATTGCCTTCGCGAAATTGGCTGCTAGTTTTTTGTGTTTCTAAAATTGATTCTTGTTCGGTGTAATCAATGTTATGATTAACTTGTTTTTTTTTTTGAGTGACTTATGCTACTTTCACAATAAACGTCTTCGTTATGCCGCTGATTAGTAAAACTTCTCTCCAACAAAATCTCAATAATTCTCAACATTTTAACATTTTAAAGCATTTTTTAGTGAACAAATACCGTTAAATTGAAAAGATGACTTATGCCATTTTCAGAATAAACGGCTCACATGTAGAATAACTTTTATTAAACATAAACGGGTATTATTTACCCCACACATACATACATATGTATGTAAGCTAGAAGTCATGCCCCAATCGATGCATATGCATGTGTGTACATATGTATGTATGTATATATAAGTGAACGAATTCCCAGAATAGAAGCATAGACATATAAAATGTGGAATTTCACCCCGCATATCGAATTCTCGGCAATTCTTACCCGCATCTGTTGATCCCCATATCCACGTCCCTGCAGGTAATTTTGATATTGTGATATCACGCACAGCAGACAATATGTCTAAGCAGCAATAAAGAAAGAAGCAATATGAAAATGAATAAGATAAGAGAGGGCTGGTGAAAAAATGTATGAATAAATTTGCGAAAGTATGCATGTAAATATACCCAGCAGCGAAAATGCGTTTGCCACCAACTCCAGAGTCGACTCCAAAGTAATGCAATCGCATTAAAATATGCATGAAGTGCTTCTCAAACGTAATCACTTGCAATGTATCAAATACTACATACATTTTTTTCGAAGTACTTTCACCGATTGACAGGCAATTGATGTCGAACCCTTATTTTATATGCCTTACATTTTGATAAAAATCTTTTGCTAGACATTTCTATATACATATCATCATCACATAAGTTGCATTACCTTTTGCCAAAAAGTAATCTAGCGCTTAAATGCAATATTAAATGTAATGCATACTTCAACAGAAAAATGCCATTACTTTTCATCAGTGATGCATCGATGCGCAATGCATTCCATTCGCTGTTGGGTTGTATGCGCCACAAACATACATAGTAATAATTATGAAAACAATCTTATTTTGTATGCGCATATAATGGTGGGACATCTTACTACTTAGAACATTTTGTTTGGAAATTTATTAATGCCGCTGGCTACTTGTTTGTATGCAAAAACTAAACAACTTTACGTGAAAAAATGTTTGCAATCTTTTTAATAGATGTAATTACTCTAAATCAACCTGCAAAAGGGTATACAGCTAATTTACCCTAAGTAACAGCAAAAAAAATTTCATTAATCACCCCAATAAACGGCTGCGGTATACCCAAACGAAAATCTTAACTAAACCGAAACATATCCTATGACAGAATTCCTAATGCCTCAATTAATGAAAACGGTTGAGCCTTTTGGCTTATTTTGACTTAAAAAAAGAGACAGGTCAAGTAAACATTATTGTGCTAATTTCTTATTCCTCTGCACTTCAATCACAAATCCAAAATGATTGTTACGCGTCCTTAAATATATGCACATACATACATATAAAATTTCTACTTACATTCAGGCACATAATAAAAAAATCGATGGTAAAAATGAAGCCTACAACTGGATCGAAATTAACCATCTGTGTTATGGATAAGTAAACCAAATGAAAAAGTTCAATTAACACATCGCACAGCATGAAAACGATCCAAGGCAACAGAAACGCGCTACGATGCTGAAAACAGAAAAAAAAAAATAAAAAAAAAACCCCATTAGTTTAAGAGCACTTTAGTTCATTTTAGTTTTTATTGCTTTGCGCATAAAAGAGTCAACTAATAAAAATTAATTGCACACTCGCTAACCCATACTTACACGTTTCATTCCGGCGAACACCAGCAACGAAGATATAACTAAGCACGCCGAGCAAATCAAAAAGAGAATATTGAATATAACAATGGCTGTAATGACACAATTGTAATCAAATGTTAATTACATACTTCCTTACTTACTTATGTATGTTTAACATCAAGGTGAGAAAATCTCCACTCATCTTACTACACTTCTACTTTGTTTGCTCACTTACCGGGTGTTATCTCCCCTCTCGCCAAGAAACTCTCTCCTATGGGTCGTCTTCTGGTGCCAGACAGATATTCTTGCTCATCATAAACGGTAATGAGCATCACAATTGTGGAGAAACCAAAGTACACCTGCAAGCAGAGTAATTAAATTGCTAAATGATATGATTGTACTTCATGTACTTATGAATTTAAAACGGTATATACATAGAGTGAGCGGAGTCATGAAGTGCATTTGAGCTGAGTACAAGTCACTGTTGGTGGGTGTTCACAATTGATATAGGGTAGGTGTAGCTAAGGTAAGCAATTAACCGTCTTAACTTGACTTAAGAAAGAAAGTAAAATGTAGGAAAGTAAACGCTTTTAAATCCACACAATACAGATCCAGAAGCCACACACAAAAAGGTTTAGAAAAGTTATTATCTGCATTTCCGAACGATCTCATTGGCATGGAAACCGAGCAGAGAGCTGCGTTGACGTGACTCGTTCTTGAATTCATTACTAGGGGTCCTAACGTAGCGTACAGGGTAAGGCGCTCGAAGTTTTTCCTATTGTGTTTTGTCTATTTTATTATTTTTTTTTTTTCATAAAAACTAGCCAAAGTGTAAGAAAAGTGTATTACTGTTCGATGTAGCCATCTTTAGCTCGGATAATAAGATCGAGTCTGTCCGGGAATGCTTCACAGGCTGCATGAATGTGGTCTGGTGGTATGTTGTCCAAGTGGTGGTGAAGAGCAGTCTTCAAGGCGTTGATTGCCACATATTTTTTTGTTGATACATTGGCTTTGACAATGGACCATTTGGAAAAGCCCATTGGTGAATATGGAGGCCAATGTTGCGAGTAGATGAAGCTGGGAAGCCTTTTTCTAAAAAACGCTAAATTTCGAGATTTTTACCGAATCTTTTTCGTTCCCAATGTAACAAAGCATCGTTTAAAATCGTTCTACAGTAGATTTTTTAATTTACCTTTAGTCCCTGTTCAATACAAAATGCGACTGGACCACATTCGTGCAGCATGTAAACAACAGAATTGATGCTAAAGATTTCTACATCGAACAGTAATACACTTCCCTAACAGGGATTTACTAGTTTGTATAAAACAAGCAGTCTTATTTACGCCTTAAAGACACTGCAGTCGTTAGGCAGGTCATATAATTTATTTTATTTGCAGATGCTTTGAGGAAATCTTTTTTACATCTTTTTGAGCCGTCAGTGTAGGTGGAAATATGTACCATTACGTAGTAGGCCAGAGTCCCATTCTTCCCTATTTGAAAATCGTATAATGAAGGAATGAATAATGGAATGACGTAATATAGTCAGTGCCAACATATAAGCCGACTCTGATCCCCTTGTGCAATCCTCTTTTCGCTGGGTATCCCAATTCGCATTGTTTTCACAATTTTGATTCCCTTAACCCACGGACCACTTTTGCTGCTGTGCCAGTTTCTAATACTTGTAACGGCTTCAAGTGAATGATCATATGCACCCATTTTCGAAGTAGGCTGCCTACAACGTCTGCGCGACTATGAGTGTCTGCATTATTCCGACAATATTCTGATTGCTACTTGTATCCAGTACTTTCCACCAGACTAGAGCTCCATAAAATTATAATCGGTCGCTGACAACCCTCATGCGTACGTCTATAGACTTCATTAATCCCTGCTCTTCTAAGTCATTGCAAGAAAAATAAAAATTTATTTCAGTGAACGCAATTTCATTCCAATAAAAAAATAACAAACAACAGCGATTTAAAACTTCGATTTGAACTCAAATTCTTGTGTTTTCGACCAATTTATATTTTATTTTTGTAGGAATTGATAATAAAACGGGGTTTTCGAGACATTTAAACACTAACAGGAGAGTTTTTTCGAACTTTTAGAAATTCTTCGAGTTTCGGGATATTTCGTGATCGTGATAAAAAAAAGCAAATGCTTTTCAGTGTTCTTACTCAAAAATTAACTAAATTGTTTGCGATTTATTACACCGTCCCACAAAAGCAAAAAATTTAAAACACACGAAACTATGAGCCACGATGTCAGGATTTTTGAAAGGACTTTGAAGTGTCAAAGGTATGATTATTTAATTAAACAAATTATGTGAAAAATGCAGTGCAGTGTAGAACAAAGCTCCCAAGTCCCAAATGAAAAGCAAATTCTGCAGAATTAAAAAAAGTTACAGTTTTTTCATTCACAAGGACGAATAGTTCCTTTCAATGAATTAATTTTTATTAAGCAAACAAATTTTGAAGGACGAGTTTCGAGGATGTTTTCATATGTATATTACGCTCCTCAACATATGATTTTTTCAAAAATAATATTGCAAATTTTAAAGGATATGCAAGAATAAACTGGAAATGAAAACTAAAACTGAAAACTATTTTACAATTTTCGGATCGCTTGTGGTAAGTGAAATTCTCAGAATTACTGCTGTTCACTTGAAGTTGTAGCTCATCTCTATGTACATATGTATGTATCTGTACTTTTGAATTTTTCCTAGAAGGCTTTTTATGAATGTATGTCATGGCATAACAAGGTAGAAGTGATTTCGACATTTCTCTCTTTTGAACTGCGAGTGAAATGTCAACCCTTAAGCCTATAAAATTCAAAATTTTAATTTTTTAATTTAGATTTTCAATTGTGGGCTGTGCGACTGATTTTAAATGCATAATAAAATGAAAAGGAGCGGTGTGCGGTGTGCGACAAGTGCCAGGACCACAAACTTGTGCGGTGGGAAAATTGCTGCGATGTTTGATTAGGAGACTCCTCACGTGTTCGCGAAAACCATTTTAGCGCCAGTGACTTTATTTGTTGCCCATCGCAGCCGAGTAAATATTTCTAAACGGACGCGTTTGTTCACAGATGCAGGATTTATCATACCAAATATGAAGAGATAATCTTCCACTCAAACATATGCATAGACGAAATTTGAAATGGTGGTCTAATAAAACCTAAAGCAGAATTCCTTGTTGACATAAAGAAAGTGGAAGTAATTTTTAATAAATTTAGTGGAATGGAAATTTTGTATTGCAAAAATTTAATAGCTAAATTATTGAAGTTAAGTCCTGATGTAAATTTAGAAGAATCAAACTTTTTTTAATGTCTAATATACTTTAGAATTAAGTATTTGAATAAATTCTCAAAAACATTGGGCTAGTAAAAGCAAGAAAATGGTCAAAACGGTTTTATTGATGAGTTTGTTTCATTTAGTGTGTAATTTTGTGTTAGTATGCATTTCCACATTCACATTAAAGCGATAATGGAGTAACTAAAAAGAAGCTGATTTTAATGTCATTGCAAATATTTTCATTTTTACATAAAACTTTCATTTCAAAGATATAGAGTTTTATCAAATATGGTACATGCATAACAAAGGGTTAATTTCTTTGTTTACATTTTTCGACATTACAGTCAGCTATGAGAGAGCTCAACTGAGTTATCACTTCTACCTTGTTCATTATGCCTAGAATGTATGTATACCGTGATGCAAGGGCGCACCCAGAAAAATATTTTTGGGGGTTTTTTTCACTTTTAATGATATATCACCAAAATATACGGGAAATTCGTTAGAGACAATACCCTCTTGTAAATGTAAAGAATATTAAGGCCACAAGCGATGTCTTGATGCCAGGCCTTAAACTGCCCATTTTTGCCATCGTATTGGTAAATTGTTTCATAAGTACGTTCTTTGTATACTAGGGAGCGATATATGTAATTTTATCTCCTGGAACTAAAAGTGAATTTGCAACATTCTAGCAGTCCCATTACCAGCATAAGGCCTTGCACATCTGATCTAAACAATAAAATATTCCGAATGAAAAAAATTATAGCAAGCTTTGCTATCTTGTATGAGAGAACGTCATGTTTTTACTTGACACCAACAATTTTATTTCTTTTTTATTTAGTAGCCAATACTTCTGCAGATTCTTTAGATAATTCTGGATCCCTTGTCAAATCATTTAATTCTTATTGGGTTAAAGGTTCTGGCTTTGTAGACGCTAATCCTTCGAAAGCACTGTGACTGCTCACTTCGAACAAAATATGGGACGAGATACCTACTCCTGCCTGTGGTAAGCATCTTTTACCCGATTCTAAATACGAATAAAGCAAATTAAAACAGCGAAAGAAAAAGCCATCAAAGTGAATTTTTTATTGATTCCATTGCATTGACACTCCGAACCTTTCGTGGCTTTTTTGACCACTGTCTCACCGCTACACCAACAACAACCACTGTCTCAAATGTTCACAGTTTGTACACAATTTGGGGTATGCGCGATTTGAGGTTGATTTGAGACTTTGACAGCCAGAAAAGCCTAACTGACATTTTGGGGAAAAGTTTGAAGTACAGTTTAAAATGCATTGCTAGAATCGAAACGGTAGTAGCCAGTGTTGCCATTCTAGCACATTTTTAGGTATCAAAAAGCATACCAAAACGGGTTCCAAATTACCAAATTTTTTGATCACGAACATGAGAATTTATTTCATTTGATATTTTATTGCATTTGCAAATGACGGAACACATGATGGGTACCAATTTGTAAAATTATTGTTAATGTATTATTGACCTTTATACCACAATTTGTGCGTTAGGATAAAAGCAAGAAAGTCTAAGCGGTAGACGTTATAACTATAATTTCGGAGACAACCACACATCTCCTCATCGGACTTTTTTTCTCTTGACTTCAGCAGCAATCGAACCCGCATCATCGATGTGCAAAATCAGCAGCGATAACCACTGAGCTAAGCACACCCCGTTAACTCTTGCCGCTTATCCATCTCCTTATTTGAATGAAAAGCATAAGGGGGTTTCGCGACGTCTTTCACGGATCGATTTTAAACCACAAAGCCCCTTTTCTTGGGTGCGCCAATGATAACTTGTATGTACATAGATATTCAAAAAATCATGCGAGTTGGACTTTGTGAAGCAGGAATTTTGAATATTTTCACTGAATTTTCGACAAAAGAAGTATCCACATACCTTTCAGAAAGATAAATGTCATGGGATCGGTGGGCAGATAAACTCACTGGTTTTTCAACGCAATTCTTCGAAAAAATGGTACCCCCAACTGAGCATGTTTTTGCTTTAGTAAACTCGCCCAATACTATAAGCTTCTACATACATATGTAGGCATGCCCACATTTGCAACATTACATAACAAAAACATTAGCATCCATGCCTAAAGTGGCTGCTGAATGATATGTTCAGGATAAAATATGTACCACAAATGTGTACATCGATATTTGCAAGATTCATGCTTGGCTGATCTGGATGTGTGTTTGTGTGCTGGTGGCGTAAGAGGGTGCTCCTGTTTCAATTATGCAAATGGTGATGCTGTTATTTTTACAACCAGCCTACAGCCACGCAAAATAAACAAATAGGCAAGCAATTGAGTGCATACATATTTCAAAGAACTAACAAAATGTATTCAAAGTAGCTGGGGATATGCAATCACTTGCGATGGATGACAAGCAACAAGCAATGTGTGGCCTTCCATACAAGTCCATAGTTATAAAAATCCAAATAGACAACTGAAGAGAAGACGATCGGAAAGCTTTTACGTTAGCAGTAAAGCTAACAACATGCAAATGCCATGTCTCATGTTAAGGTTAGATGGTGGCAGCGAATTGCCTGATTCATTGTGTTTACACAACTCTATTGGAAATTTGGAAATTTGCAATTCCGCCTTTTGGCAGCCAGCCATTCAAATGGGTTCTTGTGGCATCAATTGCCTTAGCGTCTGCTGCTGAAGGCGAATCCGTTTATTTGCGCATCATCTTTTTTTTTTGCCATTGGGCAGCAAAAAATAATTTCCGCGAAATTCAACAGATTTGTGTGGGTTTGCCAATTTTCGCAGCGCAGCAAAAAAAAATATTTCGTAGGTGCCAACAGCCGTCGGAAAAATACCTGCAGAGTTAGAAATAGGCAAGTATGTACATGTGTGTGATGGTAGTAGCAGTTGGCGACACAAAATTGCAATCATCATGGCAACAAAATACAATTGCATAACGCGCTCGTGTACATATGTATGTATATCTAACACGTGTGCGTACGAGTAAGTACTACAAGATGCCAGCGCGTTTTATGGGCGCACTTAATTTTCGTATTTATAATAAGCAATTTGACTTTTAGATCGCCATGGCGACTCCCTGTGGCACATTCATATCGAAATGTAATCGCGTGTTGATGAATATACATATACAATTTGTGTATGTATAGGCCCGTTTACATACAACTTTGGCGTTGCGTTGGCGTTGGCGTCGCTTCGACAGCTGACTATGAATACATGCATTTATATGAAAGTCTCCATATAACCAAAGTTGGGCAACGCCAACGCCAACACAACGCAGAAAGATGGCCAACTCTCAACTTTTCGCGTGCGTCGTTCGTCAGCTGTTCTAAATAATCAAAATTATGTGATTTAATTTTCATTTTTAATTAAATCCGGGCAAGAAATATAGTTTTTAATGCAATTATTGATGTAAATTTTTTATTTATCTGCCGCTAGTGTGTTAATTTAGTGACCAAAGTATTCTCTGCTACGCGTTCATTGTAGCAAGCACGGGCGTTACTCGCGCTGCTGTCAAAGCGACGCCAGCGCCAACGCAACGCCAAAGTTGTATGTGGACGGGCCTTATGTGTTGGCACATAAAAATTCATGGAAAGTCAAAGAGTCGTAAAATCAGCAAATTACTTTTGAAATCCGTTTGAAAGTGCTCATGAAAGTATGGTGTCCATTTAAGCACGCTTTACGGTTATTCATATGCGTGTAAATGTATTAGTTTAATGCTAAACATATTTTTAAATCATAAACTTGCTTATCTGAGATTGATTTATTTTGATTTTGCGAAAGTGGCTGCCAATGGAAAATCACCCAAGAGACTAAAAGTGGGCACTTTGTGACGAAAATATTTTTTTATTAAGATAATATAAAGATGAGCTGAGCGAAAATATAATAAATGCGAACAACGTACAGTGGTCTAATAGCGGCAGAAAGTGCAAATTTTGAAATGTTTCAAAATACTCAACTAAGTGGTTGATTCCATTGAAGACATGTCTACTAAAACGTTTTAGGTTTTCTTTTTGGCAAAAAACGGCTCTTGTTGTTCTTATTTAATGGACACAGGAGGTCGGTCGCCCTATCTCAGCTGCCGATTCAAAAACGTCCTATCTCAGCGCATTTTCAATGTATTTTCGGCTGAGATAGAGCATTTTTTAACCGAATTCTTAAATAGGGTGTTCTTCAATCAAATTTTTCAGAGATAAGGCGTTTTCGAACTGCCTGCCGAGAGGTCGATCTTTCAAATATAATCCAAATCAGACTATAAATACGGGGTTCTCAAATATTTCGACTCCAGTACCACCTAGCGAATTCATCTATCTTTCATATTGCATAGTCATTGGGTTCTGAGCTAAGTTGGAAATTTCGAGCCTCCGGCTCATCAGGAAGTTGGCTGAAGATTAATCAATTGGTAAATTATTTTAGGGAACACCTAAAAATTTTATCGCACAGACCGGGCTGCTAGTCATTTCGATATTGCAACATAGGACATTTTACACATTTTTTGGTAAAAACTAATTATGACCAAAAAAGTCGACGATTTAAAAAATATGAATGTTTTATTGAATGTTATATTATTTCCAAAAAAAAAAAAAAAATTAAAAATAGCTTAACTCTTTACGACCGAGTGTTTTAAAGAGGTCACTATTTAATTTGTGGTTTTGTTAAAAAATTTGACTGTAGTTTTTTTTTTTTAATATTCGTATTAAAGAAAAAATTCTATTTAGTTGTAAAAACCATTGCCAAAATAAAAATAAAGTAAAGATTAGCCATGGATTAGACAAGGATTAGAGACATGTGTCACTGCTCAGTAGTAAGGATTGCCAACTACAACAAGTAAGCAAATATCAATGTTCCGCAGAAAAATAAAATTTGAGTTGTGTCGTTATTGCAGAGAACCATCGATATGTGGCAGAATAACTCACAATACCTACAAGTGCGCAAATTTTTTGGAACTTCACATTGAAGATGAAAACAAAATAATAAATAGCAAAACTCAAGCGTCGCGACTAAAAGTTAATAAATATGAAACATAACAAATACCGAATTATAAATCTTATAAGTATCTTTTCACTTCTTCCTTTATTTTCTAAATTTTCGTAAATCTTTTGGATAATTATTAATTTAAACATGTCTGTTCGAAAATAGTTAAAAAAAACTGGAACCTACAATACAACATACAATACGGAAAAAGAAGTTAACAAATTACATAAAAGCGTTAGACTATGACTTCTGTTGATGCTACTAACGTTTCATAATAAATGCAATACAAACACTAGAAACTCGAAAGAGAAACCTGCTTTCAATTGTCTAACCTTGCTATCGGCTTGCTGCGGCCTTCCAATCTAAATCAACAAAAGAAAAATCACGGTAAATCCTTACTATTATTTTTTTCACAAAAGAACGGAAGACAACAAAATTTAAGAGCATTAAAAAATTTGAACTGCGTACTATGTACTTGGGTAGTAATTGAATGAAATTCGTTTCGAAATAGCTGGTAAGTTCTTAGAATGCCACAAAAAGAGAGTTCATAATCTACTATAGAGTTCTCATTTATGTCACAAAGTTGATAAGAAAAGTTTCGATAAGCGCTTTTCGTTGTACCCATACATACTGTGGAAGTATTTCACATAAATAAACACATACATACGTAAGTACTTACCAAAGTGTACGTTGCGCTGGCCATACTGCCTTTACGCACTGTCTTCCAAAAGCAACAAGACTGCAAGATGGCCATCTTCGAGAGACGACACGACCGACACCTTTTTGGTTGCACGTTCACGCAGTGCGATGAATCCACTTGACAGAAAGTGGCTGTAAATACTTCCGGGATGTGTCAAGTTGGCAAATGTATTTATATTAAAGTGCCTAGCCGGAGTGTGTGCATTTTAACGGTAATAATGGTGGTTTACTTGCTTTTTGAACATTGCGGAAATGCAAGGTTTTCTTTTTTAAGATACTTCAGGTTTTGTTGGTTTGGAATCATTGTGTTATGAATTTTATATTATTTGTTCTTTAGCAATCAGGACACTGATATATGTATGTATGTATTTGTTAAAGCTTTAAACCAGTACTGAATTGTTGAATATGTATTACAAATGTGTACAATTCGGAGCACTCTTTCTCTCCTCACAAGCCAAATGTTGCATAAAATTGCAATCAGCAGGAGATCACAAGTACAGGCATAAAGTTTTTGTTAAAAAAAAGTGTAGGCACTAACTAATTAGCTATCAATGAAGAGTCAGAATAAATGGGACCCAAAGACATATTGAAGAAGATTTCCATAGTTAATTTGAAGGCTATATGCATATAAGGGTGAGGAAACTTTGAAGAATGGAATCTTTTAGCCAAATATTCGGGCATATACAGCAGGGCGTCTGAAATGTCAATATTAAGGTTAGCTCCCTTTGCATAGCCGAACCCAGGACGGTTTACTGACGTTGCGAATGTAAGCGAAGACTTATAGAAGCGAAAGGCGTAGATATTCATCGGTCCCCTAGTTTGTTTATCATCTACTTGGACGAAGTAGCCGACATCTTTACTCCTAAAACGAGGTATTGGCTCCCTGACTCACCTGAATCATGCAGACCGCCGAATGAAAATTAGATCTACCCATTAGGAAATCTACGAATTCCGCTTCCTTTTTTAGTTTTTTACTTTTTACCAATAACCATTGACTTAAAACTTTTTTAACAGACTACATCATGAAAGCAACGAGTCTGGAGCCACCGCTTAAACCACAACACAACGAAATACCTGACGAAGGTATTGGGGGAGTGGAACTTAGGCGGTAGGAGGTTTAATTCGGGTTGCAGTCCCACACTGGCCGGTCTGGAGTGTGGCTCCCGATCCGTAACAAAAGAAAAAAAAACATTCCGCCAGCTAAGACTTCCGTCTCCTTAATCGCAGTTTGGTGGCGTGGCTCTTGCAAGTTGTTTGTAGTCTGTTAGACGTGTCTCCTCGCATTATTCTATAGCTGAAATTTCCAGGCGAGCCCCTAATAGCGCCGTCAGAATGAGTACTTGTACGTCTTAGCCGGTAAAGTATGCAAAGGAAGTAGCATGCCTAACTGAGAGAGGCGCCACAATGAAGATGTGGCATATGTAAACAAACATCAGCTGTTCTTTATTGCCGCCTATACAATTGTCAGTACTGACGAAGTTACTTGGGTTCTAAGTTGAGTGTTGGCCAACGTTTGTTGGTTTCGTCAACGCAAGGTTTGCCAATCTGGCGCTCTCCATGCAAATAGTACACACAGTCTACTCAACTATCAGTCTCATCCCAGTACCGATTCTGATGGCGCTATAAAGTAGCATTGAGCGTTGAGTAGAATGACTTCGTTGTGTACAGACATGCCTATCGTTGCACGTTTTATAGGCTGAGCAAAAAGTGAAGCATGTCCCACCATAAGAACTCGCCATAAGTGAAAATGAGTCTAACTGCTGTTATGTTTTTTCCAATCGTACTTTTGCAGGAGGTGAGCGAATTATACGCTTTTCTTCTCCGCTCTTAAGTACTCCTTTGCGTCTTTTGACAATTTAGGATTTGTAGAATTGAATGATAGATTTCGAAAACTGTATATCTTAAAGCATAAACAGACGGCAGCGTTGATCCGGATTAATAATAATAATAGATTGGCGCTTACACATAAGTTAGTGTTTGGCCGAGCTTCTCCTCCGATTTGTGGCGTGCGCCTTGATGTTGTCACACAGAGCGGAGGGACCTACAGTTTTACGCCGACTCCGAACGGCGATTTTATTTTTATGAGAAGCTGTTTTTCATGGCAGAAATACACTCGGAGGTTTGCCATTGCCTGCCGAGGGACGACCGCTGTTAAGAAAATCCGGATTAACTCGGGAATTAACTGCATTTGATCCGGATTAAGTCCGAGTTAATCTGGATCAACGCCGCCGTCTGTTTAAGCTTTTGCATGGACACGCCATTCCTTTCTGGCTACCCTGCCATATCGTCTATTGCAGATTGTAATAACTCACTGGCCATCTACATGAACTTCTCTACGACCAGAATGACTGATTAATCTGCTTACGCAACAACTTTAGTGGCTTTCGATGTGCGAAGCAGGAATTTGTTTGGCATGAAGATGCATAGCAGAATAGATAGGAACCGCCGTGTTTTGCACTTCTGCGATTACCAAGGAATAATTGGTGCTTCTTGTACTCAGCATATTGTCGATCCGAAGAGCGATGAGTAGATCTAGTCCTTCAGCAACTATGAAGGAGTATATCGTTACCTTAATCAACAAAGGCCCTAACCAACAAATTTTCTATTTTATACGAGAAGCAAAAAAACATTATAAAATGAAAATCAAAAACAGATAGGACTTTTTTAACAAGGGCATGTAACTCCGTTGGTTTTAATATATTTTACCAAAATCTTACGTCCATTTGATGTGGTGTCAAACTGGTGTGCCAAATGTGATGATGCAAAAACACCTACACATTTGTTGCCCAATAATTGCCTATCATAGAATTATGTGGATTTTATTATGTTCAGAATATACACGAGTTTACCTCCACAAACCCGCAAGCAACATACACGATGATTTGGAAAAGAATTCCTTATCTCGCCTAATGCTTGAATTAGCAAACAAATCACAATTTTTCTGTCACATCAATATTTAAGTATGCGGTAGTCATTTTCTTTGCAATTTGCACAAACGATTGTGGCTTTTTCTCGTTTACTGAAAAAAATGAAAAAAATAAATAAACAAGAAAAGCCGAAAGAAACTTTGTACAGCGTTTGAAAAAAATTCCTTACAAGATTAAACGATTATTATGCTGCAATGCTCTGCCATGTCTTCATTCCTAATGATATTTAGCACAAACATACATACATACACAAATATATTTTTATGCTTTAGGCAAATCTACTCATTTTTTTCTATTCGTGTCTTAAATTTCACAGCGGCTATTATGAACCATATTTCATTCTCGCATTTCACAGTTAGGTGTATAATATGTAATAATTTTTTCACGCGATGCATATTTATGTGCCTTTATAATTCATTTGCCGCTTTTTGGCACACATATTCCCAACAGCACATTCACTTGCAGCGCGTGCCACAAACAAAATTTTTTTTGTCTTTAATTGCTTTCAACGCGCCTTCTTGGTTTAGTGTTTTCAAAAAGATCAAAAAACAAAAACATTATCATAAAACTGCACAGTGACAAATTGGCTTTGTCGTCGCAGCGGTCCTATAAATCACTTGTAAAAAATTTTATACAACACATTCGCGTGCTTTTCGCGTTTTAACGGTGAAATAAAAAAACACGCATGAACCATGCCATTAGTTATATCTCCTACATAGCTAACTTCCGATTTTCGCTTTTTACGTCTGTATCGCGCGGAGTACCCGAAAGGACTGAATGTCGTCGGTTGGCTGCAGTTTACTTTAATTCAACCCGAATGGTTGGCGCCGTAACAGTTTTATGAATGAAAGTGGACAAAAAGTGTAAACAAATGCGTAAAAGCTCAGAGCTCGTTCGTCGGATGCTCGTTTGCTCCTGCTGCTGATAGGTAATATTTATAAAGGAGCTTTTAAGTAATCATTGCCTTATAGTACTTACATATTTACATATTTGTAAGTGTTTTACTTAAACTACTTGGTGGCCTTTGGTATTTCAATCAGGCAGGTCTTCAAACTTTAATCTAATAAAATTGCGGTAACTACGCAACAGCGTTTGTTAGCGAGTATGGGTATGGTGAGCTTGTAAGCTTAAGCTAAGAAAGTCTAAGTCTACTCTTGTCTGCTTTAATGCAACTTTAATTACAATGAGTGTAGATATATCGTTCGGTTATTCACAGCCAGTTTGGCGAGTGATTAGAGCCATGTGCAAACACGTGTGTAGGCCCAGGTTCGATCCCTAGCTGTATCATCATCCAAGAACGTTTTCTAAGTGCCTCCTGGCATTAATAGCCATTCCAGAGCAGCAGAGAACTGAAGGTCCCTCCATTTGTGAGGCAACATTAAGATACACGGCATAAATCGAAGGAGCAACTCGGCCAAACACAAGCACACAAGCATTTTTGAGACACGCTCCTGAACCTCTTAATATTTTTTTAATTTTAATTATTTGTTTATAAAAATATGGTATATTCTCTAACAAAAACCATATTTCAATCTTTGTGCAACATTTCAAAAAAAAAGAACAAACTTTTCTAAAAATTTCGAAATTTTAAATTCGTTTTTTTTTTTAAATATTTCGGGTAAGCAGTTTTGTAGCCCATTAATTTTAGTATAATAAAGTGAAAGTTTAAAGTAGTTGGGACTTACGGACAACAAAACTGCAGACTCAAAAAATTTCTAAGAAATCGAATTAAAAAGCTCAAAATTTTTGCGAAAGTTTATTGATTTTTCTTTTAATTGTGCACAAGGATTGAAGTTTTTTTTTATATAGTTTTTGTTAAAGAATATACTTTTATAAACAAAAAACTAAAATTAAAAGACATTCGGATTAACGGTCAAATCTTGTCAATGTGTGAGTGTCGTATGTAGAGTTATGATAAGCACTATACATTTATACATTTGTATATCTGCACTAAGTTTTGCAAAACTTTTCCGAACTTGAAATGTTTCAAAAAGTTTTTAGCTTGTCAATTTGTGATTTATGCCTAGACTGCGCAAAATGCTATTCATTTTTTGTTGCTATTTTCCATTTTTAATCTTTACAATTTAAACAGAAATTTGCGGTTGTCAGTTGAGTAAGTAAAAGTTAGAAATTGTTTTAGGGAAATTGTAGTTTGTCTCAGTCCTTGCTGTGCACTGCTTGTTATTTTAATAACCGCTAAGTTTTCTTTTTCCTGGAAATTTCATATCTTATCTTCCATCAAACGCCTCCAAACATTTTCATAGTATTTGGGGCCGCTGGGAAAAGCAAATGTAATTGGAGATTTAATTAAGTGCCGTCTATCTATTAATTAGTATTGGTGCAATAAAATGTTTTGGG